TCCATAGTATCTGTTCCCAAATTCTCATTCCATACCCCCAGCTGTACTAGGTCATTATCCACCATGCTATCTGCTCCAGTCCTCAATCCTGGCAGATTTCTGCTGTTGAGACACAGGCCACACCACTCAAAAGAACTGATCCGGCCCATAAAATTCTGTAGGACACAGGCCCTCTGCTGAACTAAACACCAAGCTAAGTTCCCTACTATAGATAGAGTTTCCCTACTATATATAAAAGGTCCTGCTGGCCATCAGAAATCCAGGCTTCAAAGTCTAGCATACCAATATGAAACAGAAGCCAAGGAACAAAACACCAACCCTACAAAGATGAACTCAGCAATAATGTTCTAGATATATTCATCCCATACCCAGATGCCTAAATATCAGTGTGGAAATATAATTCACAACAGTCAGGGCAATATGGCACCATCACGTACAGCTGTCATATGATATGAAGACCAGAAAATTCCAATGCTGCCAAAGCAGAAGAAAATGTCTTTAAAATGAACTTTAAGAAAATAATAGAGATCCTACATTACAAATGAAATATGCCCTTAAATAAGCCAAAGAAAAAGCATTCGTAATAGCAGGTAATATAAAAATTCCTTAATGAATGCCAAGAAAGTCAAGAGAAAGTAAACAATCATGTGAAAGAAAATATCCACTCCTGAAAATTGATATAGAAGTAATAAAGAAAGCAGGGACTGAAGGAATTCTGGAAAAGGAAAATCTGAGTAAGCAAATAGGATCTATACACGTAAGCATCGCCAACAGAATAGAAGAGATGGAGGAGAGAATCTCAGCCATTGTAAAAATGATAGAAGAAATAGATTCATTGATGAATGAAAATGTTAAATATAAAAATGTAACAGGTGTTCCCTGGAAGATTCTGGAACCTTATCTATACCCACTCTATAGTAGGTGGTGTTTGGAATTCAGGAGAGCACCATGAACAAGATGACATACCCTGAATCTCATTTGTTTTCTGGATTTCAGAGCAGGTCACAATTGACTTTTGGACCATGCGTGATGTAGCCCTGGACATGAGATTGCACGGAAGAAGAGGAAGGATGCAGAGGTGATGAGGGAGCAGAAAGGTTGAGTCAGGGGAAGAATAGAAGAAAGGGTGTTTGATAGGTAGGGTTTTAGTTGGGGGGTGGTAGGGGAGGACGGGAGGGAGAAGGGAATTGGGATTGTCATGGAAATCAATCTTGTTTCTAATTCAAATAAAAAATGATAAAAAGATTGCAGTTCTCCCAGTTATATCCATCGATTGATACCAGGACACACATTCAGAAAATTGTTTTCCTGAGCCAGGCATGACCTTCCCTAGTAGACTTGTTTCCAACCCTGTCTATACTAACTGGATGTCCTTACCTAGACTCTGCTCAGACCTACTGGCTCTTCATTTTTCTGAGAAGACCTTTCTACATGGGGAACGCTAAGGTCCCATCTCTCATGGCATCTTTCATAGGAGAAGTCAAGATTGCCACCAGGGAATCAGATAGGCAAAGGGCAAAGATTACACATCAATATCAGAGGGGACAAGGGCTTACCCAACACTGTTAAGTAACACATGATACTAGATTGCTGGCTTGAAACCCTCCATAGTAAGACAGGGCCCACAGTCCTTTCGAGGACAATTGCTCGCCTGTTTTACAACACTAAGAATCTTAAACTCCTAATGGAACTGCTCCTGGGACTCTCTCCTAGGACAGAACTTTGACTGGTTACATTAGTGATCAAAGATTGATCTTCATTCCTAGTCATCACTCAGCTGGTCTCTTCCCAGCATCCAGAGACATCTCTGCCACTTTCCACAGTGAATTACAAAAGTGCCCATTGAGTACCCAGGGTAGGGAGGCTGCTCAGCTGGATCTCTGTGTCACAATGACACATAGGCTTGTTGAAGGCTCCCTCTGGTTCTGACTGACCTAAGGCAAGACACAGCAGGTGTTAGCCCTGGGATGAGCCATTGTTCTCTAGGACATGGGGATGCTTATCTCCCTTGTTACTCAATGTATTTCTTGGAGGAGAAGCATAAAGGGAAGTGGAAATGGGTGTTGGACAGCACTGAGTGGAAAGGATTGAGCAGTGCCTTGGACACAGATCCCACCACCAAAAGCCCATTGGATTCTGGGTGGTGCTCTTGCCTGAAAGGAAACTCAGCTCATAGCTGAGGCAGAGCACCTTGGTGGAGCTGAATTTGTTCTCCTAAAGTGGAGGACAGCAAGGTGAGAAGAGAGATGGAGATGTCCTCTGTGTGTCTCTACAATGGGTGCACTCCCTGGCAGGGGCTTCTGCTCACAGGTAAGTGTGCTCACTTTGACTGTGAGGTTGGAGGGGTTCTTGGAGACAGGCTGGGCTTTCCTAAAGAGGACAGGAAGCCTGAGGGGGAGACTTGTGGTTTTTGTTTGCAGTCATTGGACATTAGGTAAAGTGAGGGACAGAGCCTCAGCATCCTTCTGAAGCTCTAAGTGGACAGGAGGTGACGAGGGGAAGGGAAATGCCTCTCAACCACTCAATATTCCCAGTCAATTACTATGGCTGCCATGTTCTGAAGCATAGTATCCCTTACTATGTCAGTGTGATTCTCCAAATGGAAATCAAAAAAGGGTGGGCCAGTGAGATGGCTCAGTGTGTGGAGACATGACCACTTGATTTTCATCCTCAGCTCCCTCACTGTAGATAGGGAAAATAGCCTTCTGCAGTCTCTTATATGGCATCCAAACTTGGCATTGGCATGCATGCACACTGGGGCATAGTGAAACATATGTTCACACAGTTTTATGGCATACATGCGCCCATGGAGAGAGCTAGTTTCAGAAATACACATATAAAATACATGAATAAATCTAAAATAACTTAAATCACACTTGAATACAATTATTGTCATTAACTCCAAACCTGGGTACTATGTAGTTAATCCCGTTGGGGCA